ATCCTGAGTACATTTTTTTCACCATTGACATTGAATAAAAATTTTTCCATACAGGGGAAAGATGGGGAACTTTCAAATTTTATTTTTAATCATATTTTAAAAAATCTTACTAGTTTTCATCTTGGTGGGGATTTAGGTAGCTTTACTCTTATTTTTTGGTCTAATATGACCGGACTATTGCTTTCGGAAGACGAAGGTACGAAACTTAAATCTTTTGGAATGATAGATTTAAATGATACTCCTTTATAACATTTGTTTGTAACGATAAACGATTTAACTTAGTTATGAGGTCACAGGTAGTCTTTGTATTTGTTGTAGGTTCAGTTTAATGAGTTTATTTCTAGAATGGTAAACATTTATTATGCAATAAATTTATTAAGTAGAAATTGTCAAGTAGTAATAGTCAGTCAAACTCGAATTAATATATTATATTAAATTACGATGTAGAAAATATCAGTATCAAACACTTAATTATATCCGCCCAACAAACAAAGTAATCCAAAGAAAGACAGATGCGTCATCAAAGCATAATCACCACGCACATTTGCATCTTTTGGGTAATGTAAACAAGCCTCCTTACGCTGCAGATTTAACTGCAATCGGCTGACAGAATTCATTGTTACAGTGTCGGAGTGGTCAGTTTTGTTTTAACGCCTGTAATGTTTACATATACGGTATTTTAAAACCTAAATTTTTTAAAATATCAAGTACTAATACGGCTGAAGAAACTGCTAATTTGTGTCTCTACACCCCACCTAAAAAATTTCCTATACCCACCCGCATATTATTAAAAAAAAAATGAAATAAAATTTCGGTCGTTCCTTAGTGCGACTATGTACAAGCAGCCTTGTCTGGAAGATCACGTGCACTACGCATAATAATGTTTTGGAATACTCCATTGTTTACTCCATTGTTTAGATGGACAGAGTATGAGTATTGTTTTGTTCTGGTGAGGAAAACGTGTTTTCAATAGATTCATTTTACACCAGAGGTTCCAAATTTTACTTATCCAGTATTGAACACGTCCGAAGTAGCTATTGTATAGTGAAATATTTCACACAGTATTATTGGAATGCGTTCTAATGGATATTCATCCATCCCGAGCTCCATATAATTTTAAGGTTCATGGCAAAGAAAACAATAATCTGTAATGTATCTGCCGAAAGTGGTTCAATATTCGTCTTGGTATCAGGAAGGGGAGTTTTTATTTTTGGTAGGTGTTTCACAAATCGTACTGTATAAAATATGTTTATAGAGATTACTATTCCAAATTTGATTCACAATTATCAAATTTCTCATTATTTCTTGTAGTGAAAGTTTTTTTTTCTACACACATGTAGGTACATAACCATTGGCCTGATAGTCTAGTATTACTCAATCATGTTAGTCGACATTTCGTTGAAAAATTACTTTGTGCAACATACTAGTAGAGAGGAATTGTCTCAAAAATAACTACTAACTCAACTTTGAATATATCTGAATAATAAATGGTTAACCAAATATTGTTCTACTGTTGATAAACTATTTTGGCAAATATTTTGTATGAGCAAATAGATATAGAAAAACCTTCAACAATTAGATTCAGGGAAAATTACTGAAGAGATGATAATCAATCCTAATAATTGTCGATTACTTAATAAATGTCTACTAACTCAACATGTATACATGACTGACATTATTCGAATAAAATATTTGCTCTTATTGCTCTTATATACTGATATAATAAGAAAAAAGAAAAACAGTTTTTTAATATTAATTTGTGTTCATGACGGGTGATTTTTTAGGAGGTATAGGATTTGATTTTCAAAACAACACAAAACTTTTTTGAAAATTCACGTACGCCAGTCGTTGCTGGTTTATTCCTGTAGACATGAGCCTTAACATCCCCACAAGAAATAATCCAAAGGCGTTATATCACACGATCTAGGCGCCCAATTGACGGGTCCCAAATGTGAGATAAACTATTCACCGAAGGCGGCTCTTAATTAGGCCATTGTTTCGCGTGCCGTGTGGCATGTGGCATCGTCTTGTTGAAACCACATGTCAGGCATGTTCAATTCTTCCATTTTGGGCAACAAAAAGTCGTCAGTCATCACATGGTAGCGCTCGCCATTCGCGGTAACGTTCCGGCTATTGTCGTCTTTGAAGAAGTGCGGCACTCCAGATGCGGCAATTTTGCTTGTTAACGTATCCAGTCAACCAGAAATGAGCCTCGTCGCTGAACACAATTTTTCGATAAAAATGTGGATCTTCCTCCAACTTTGCCAGCGCCCATTCACCAAATGTTAGACGTTGTGGGAGGTCGTGTGGCTTCAATTATTGCACCCAAATCCTTTCGCAAAATTTCCAACGTAGTGGAGTAACAGAGGCCCAATTGCTGCAAACGGCGGCGAATCGACATTTCACGGTCATCACGAACACTGGCGGATACAGCTGCAATATTTTCTTCGGTCCTCACTCTACGTATGCGTGTTGGTGGTTTAATGTCCAATAATGTAAACTGGGTTCGAAATTTAGACACAAGCTTCCGAATAGCTCCCTCAGTGGGCCGACGAAACTGCCCATAAATTTGAAGAAGTGCACGATGCACTTTCTTCACCGAGCATGAATTTTGAAAATAAGATTCAATAATTTGAAAGCGTTGTTAATTCGTCGATTCATGGTTAAATTATAGACCAACCTGAACATGTTTGACAATAACACAAGACACGATTCACGCGTGATCTGTCAAAAACGGTGTTGCCAAAAAGATATCAGCAAAAATATCACTCATTATAATGATTTTTTTAAACGAAAGCCTATACATTAGTTTTTGTGCAACTGGAAATCTAGTTTGTTTTTCATAAATTCGCTTGAATACTTATTGGATTTTTTTTGTGTGGTTAATTAATTATTTTCTAATTAATTGTCCAATCTGATAAAAATATCAAACTTGGAGAAAAACAGTGAGGTACATTGATTTTCACTACAAATATCAATCTGTGACTCCATTAGTATTATTAACCGCAATTTTATTTCATGAAAAGAAGCCACTGCTAATAAATATTCCTAGTTTCATCAAAATCGGCATAAATATTTCTGAGTACCATGAAACTCTACAAAAAATTATTTCTTCCGTCAAGCCATTGATATCATAGAAAATCACGAGTATCTATCTGAATGTATGTGAAAAAATATTTCTTCGGAATGCCAGAGGTTTGGACTTATAATATAAAAAATTAGAAGAATCGAACATTATATGATATTGAAATGTCATATAAAGAAAAAATGAGAGAAATATTTCAAACTAAGCCTCTTCACGTTTCGATTGTTGATATTATAAATCGTTAGTAGGTGAATCATCGGTAATGGGAACACAGTAATCGTGAAAAATAAATTCCAAGAAGAAATATTAACTTCTAATCGTGTCTTATATTTATTTTTCGTCGGTGAATCATCGGTAATGCGAACACAGTAATCGTGAAAAATAAATTCCAAGAAGAAATATTAACTTCTAATCGTGTCTTATATTTATTTTTCGTCGAGTTTTTCGTGATGCAATTATTGCGAAAGCGCGATTGAAATTTTGACAGCATCTTCAAGGAATTTTGTTAATTTCGTTTTTATAAACAAACATACCTACTTAATATTTGGTTCATATAAATATTTGTACATTGTACAAATATTTGTACACATATTTGTACACAATGCGGAATGTTCCTCAATTTGGGTTATTACAGCAAATGCAAGTTTGAACAAAATAAAGTTGAGTTTAATTCATGAATTTTTTAAATCACTTCGAAAAGTATTCAAATTGATATTTCAAATTTAAAGGGATTTGTTTCTGATTCACATATTGGCAACAGCGCCTATATCAAGTTGAAATAACTCATACGTACCTAGATATTCTACTTCAGAAAATGGTAGGAGCCAAGAGCTTTCAACGCTCCTTGACTGTCCGAGAATATTTTTATTGACTTGTGTATGTGGTTGGATTCTTCCAATATCTCTGTCCTGGGTTTGCGACTGAAAACACCTGCACCAGAACCTGAAGGTGTTTTGATCCATCTGTGACCAAACAACTCTCTGCTGTTAATATTTCCTTCTTCCGGGGGATCCAGTCCTCTCTACTTGGGTACAGTACTTTATAAGGCAGTTCGTAGTTGGCATTTGGAGGCATAAAGTCAGAGGTCAATTCCAGAACGCTGTGACTTCCAGTGTCAACCAGTCGTCTGTTGCGTTGCGCATTACATTGATTTGTGCAATTAGCAATGTGCACAAATCTATATGCAGTTCATCTAGCCTTTCTCTCCAGAAATTTATGGAGAGAAGGTAGATGTAAAAGGATATCAATGCTTGCTGACGGTGTGGTACTGATGGCACCACTGATGGCCAGCCTGTCTCTGTTAGCCAGATAGCTTCGCCTGAATAGTTTCCTGTACAGTCTTCGGCCATCAGGCAATTGCTCCATAAGTGATCATTAGTCTGACAATCGTCACATAAATCCAATGGATTTGTTTAGGGGCCATTACGATTTGGACTTTGTTCCTTTCCTGTAGTCGATAAGTCGTCTAACAGTTAGAGGTGGTACGGTATCCGAATCTCCCGGCAAGTATGCGAAGCGGGCGATAATATTCGTCTTACCCGTCTTGCTCGGTAGAGAAATTTGGATGGCCACCACGTCTTGGATGCAGAAACTAATTACGTAATTACGTAACTTTCAATTATTTTCTTGATGACTTCTTTCTCGGGATCGCATTGTTACTTTTCTCCTCTGAGGTTCGACAGTAATTGACCACACTGTACAATTGAACGACTATTGCATGTCTATCGCCGTTTTAGCTCAATTCGCCCTGCAAATTCTTTATCACACGTCGTGGTAATGGTGGTAAAACACGATGGAACTCTTAGGAAGCTGTTTAAAAAAAATCTGTTTAAAATCTGTTTTTCCGTTAACCAGTTGTCGCACCCCTACGTACGACAACCTCCAAAAGTCAGAACTTTTGCGAGCTAAGGATTAACGAGGTCTTACCTTTTAACGTGTAGTTCCTAACACGGGTGGAAAAGACAATATTCTAGGAGCATCGGTAGGAGACTCGATTAGAACTCAGCGTGACTATTTACTTATGATGCACTGTTTGGTACCTTTGGTGTATTAATGAATATTACTGGAGTTTTTTCCCAACACCAAATCGTTATTTTTAACGCCTCGACACGTGTTTCGATCACCAAGTGATCATCTTTAAAGAGGAAGATTAAAACAGTTTTAATCTTCGTCTTTGAAGATGATCACTTGATTGAAACACGTGTCGAGGTGTAAAAATAACGATTTGGTGTTGGGGAAAAAACTCCAGTAATATTCAGCGTGACTATCACTACGTCGCACTCGATCGGAGAAGACCAGCGTCAGCCCCTTTTTTTTTCAGGTGATAATTAAAAACGTGACAGTCAACAAACGAGAAAATGTAGACCTCCATTTTTTGTTATAATGATGGATAATGGCGGGAACTGTCAGAAAATGCTTTTGTCCTCTTGTCCGCACGTTTCACAAATCATCGTCAGAAAATATTACGAATTGAAGATCGAAGTTCTGCCTCACCCACCTCACTCACGATAATCAGGACCAGGTAAATACAGCCTTCGTCGACTTCATCGAATCCTGGTCACACAATTTTATCTATCTTAACTCTATACTCAGAATCAGAATAAATCTCGTATATTCTTCCTTTTGTCAACAAACTATTTCGGCCACGCCACTAGAAAAAATGCTACGAAAAGATGCAATCTCAATTAGAAATCTACTTTTCTTTCTGAATATTTTACTGTGAAGTGCCCCGACTTTACGATCTGGCCTTCAGCTGATAAAATTAAGCTTCAACCTCAACAGGAGGAATTTCAAAAGGGAAACCCTCAGTGTAGTTAAGGTTCAAAAGACCAACCTTCGTGCGTTTGGCACGAGTCCAGCAGTCCTACGGAATGGTGATATATTGGTGACAGATGGAGGACAGTAAATAATTAAATTTGATACTAAGTACAGTAATAATCTGGACTAACACTCCAGGTATTACACTCCTCATGCACTTTTTACGCATTGTCATGCCCTAACTTTAGTATTAAGCAAAGCGTGCAACAACATAAAAATGACTTGAGCCTCCATTGTTCTTCAATGCACGAGCCGTCACTGAAACTGACGGTAATTTACAATAAGGCGTCCCGAATATCAAAGGTAAACTGCGTGGTCAACAATTTTCGGCCACCGAAGAAGCAGTTGAATCGTTCAAAAACCCCTCGTATGTGAATATAGTCAATTCACATTTTTATGTGGATAATTTTTTATAATATTCACTTAAATTCAACTTATTACTATATTTAAATGGCTATGGAAAGAGAAGTAAAAGACTTCAAACGGACAGTTTCAATTGAAAAAGGAAATTATTGGGGGCTCCTTATCCTCTCAGACAGACCATTTTCGTATCTTTCATTGGTGATTGATTCGTTTCTATTAAGATTTCACCCCTCCTCAAAATATTGATAGATCGACCGTACTGTATATTACACATTTCCGGCTATAGTGGCGATCCATCACTTTCCTTTGTCTTGAGAAAAGCAGTTTTTTTAGGTGCTAATAGCCATTTCTGATGTAGCATTTCATTCAAATCTGATTCATTCCACTGGTAATTTTTTATGTGTTCAAGGTCGTAGTTCATGTAATTTCTTTGGAAGTATCCGACGTACATTTTTAGCCGGAACATTGGTTTAGATGTGATGAGTTGTTTTTTATGACATGATTTCAGGATCTCAAAAAAGCACATATATGCTGTTACTTGTAGTTTGCTGCTATGTTCTCGTCCGTAATTTTTACCAACTACTCCGAACGCGAGAAGGTTTTTCCAACCTTCCAATCTTTCAGATATGTGTTGGAACCACTCTCAAAGAAAAGGGTAAATTATATTGAAATATTTCGAATATAATTGCGATTCTGAAACTTTTATGCAGCACATTAACCATTCCAATCGCACTGTATAATGTTTATAGTTGTCACTTACCGACAAACGAATAAATATTTCAAGCAGGCACTGACATTAATTGTCGTTCCAATATTGTTGATGTTTCCGTGATGTTATACAATTCAATATAAATCTTGTTTGCAATTTAAATGGCTGTCTACATTGTTGATAGAAATAAAACCTCCCATTCTACTCTAATATCGCGTTAGTAATTGAAACTTTCAGCATACCTTGATAATAACTATTGATTCATCCGGATTTGACACCTGACTGAATATTATTAGTAGTAGTTATAGGAAGGAGTATTTTACTGGTTCCCACCTCTCGTGACCTCTCGGTAATTTACTCACTATAAGACTGAGTACCGAGCTCCCTCTTCTCGCTAAAGTTATTTCTATTCCACACTGATCCAGTGGCGTAACGTTGTAAAAGTTATTTCAGGATAACAATTTTATATCGCCAAATGTATTATTTTTTTCTCAAGCTTTCAAACTCTTAGCATACAATTTATAATACTATAAATAGAGAGTCTACAGTAAGTGCACATTGGATAACTTTTATTTTTATGCGTTTCTTCATCAGTTTTTGTCTTTTCAAGTAGTTCAATATTGATCCTGTCTCTATCATTTCATCCTTGAAAATTGAAATCGTATCACCAAATATCTCAACATTAAAAAAAGCTATGTAGCTTTCTACTTTTCCATCTGCATACATAATTTGTGGGAAACTCTTGAAGGAAGTTCAAAATAAACTTTTTACAAAGATGTGTAGATCATGCATAGAAGTTCAGAATTCAAAAGAAGTATTTTTTGACACAACAACTACAAACATTCGTTATGACATTAATTCAGATATCATTCATAGGGACGCTAAACAATATAATGTATGAAAGAGTGCCGATATAGCATTTCAGTTATATGGAATACTATCATCCTCAAAGGCGTACTTCGAAGGTCACCTCATCAGTAATTTTTTGGGCAACACAAAGTACTCATTAGTTTCATAACATTATGAAATAAATTTACTCATGTCGCTCTTTTAAAAAGATGGAAAAGTTAAAAGCCTGAAAACAAATGCGAAATATTTCAATGTCTATGAAAAGTATATATTTTTCAATCAATTTGTAGTCATCCTCCTTCTTTTCAGATCCAGGATGATTTGCTTCTTCTCTTGTGGTAATATCAGAAAAGTACTCAATAATTCGAATAATTTAAACTATCCATGATAATACTTACAGAGTTTTCACAAACATTTTTATTTCTAGACGCGTTTTGCTAATACTGTAGCGAAATGAATTCTACCGAGGAAGCTACGGTGTTCCAAGAAGCAAATTATGAGAAATAATTTAATTAATTTTCACAAATTCACTCTGTTAAATAGATGAGTCAAAAATAGAACTATCGATTAATTAGCCGGAGTGTAGCTCATTGGTTGTACCTTTTGTGACAATCCACATAGAAATATTCATATAGCGCTTCGTTCATTTCACGTATATGTGAGTTCCTCTGTATTTTGTATATCTTTCGAAATGGAGGCGATAGAGCAAAAAAGGATATTCGACAATTCTACTTTTTGGCGAATATTTCAAAAACAACCACGGATATTCTTGATCTGAGATGAGATTATTTTAGTTTCCCAAATTGGTGAACTTTTGTCTAAATAACCGACCTCGAACATAGAAACAGTGCGATCAGCTAAAAAACGGCCTTTGTATAACTTTTACTGTCCTATGGTCGTGATCAGTCTGAAAAACAAAAATTATCCTAGCAGATTTTGTTGTTTTGAATTGAAAACCAAAAATGATTTATTTTTATCATATCAGATTATACTAATAAATAATTTCATTTTTCCTCTTTTTTGGCTTCATTTAATATGATTCCTGATGTATTTGAAAATTCTAGTATTTGTTCCTAAAGTTTTCCAGTTTTTGGTCTTTTTTTAATCTTTACGCTTTTTCACATCTTTAGTGACACATTTTTCTCAAATCACTGGGTATTGGCAAACATCGTTATGTGCTCTTGATCTGAATAACTTTCAATCACTGTCTGCCTTGCAGACCCGAAATTGCATCACCGGTCATTTCAAGACGCATTCGTCATGTCAAGTGATAATTTTTTGTCAAATAACTTCCTGACATTATCTATGGTGGCAGCCATAGTAACCCTTTCATTTGAAATATTTTATCCTGCACAAAAACCATTCCACCAGCATTGTATATCCTTTATAGTTGTCACTTACCGACAAATGAATCAATATTTCAAACCGGCACTGTTAGTATTAGCTTTCGGACTAAATAATGTACATAACACTGTTGGGGACCCTATAATATTCAATTCAGTAAATCTAGTTTGTACTCAAAACCATTATTTATTTCAATAATTGAAGTCAGTGTGATGGAAATGTAAATAATGTCCATGAACCCATGAACATGAATGTTTCAAAATTTACTATCAATATAGCTTGAAATAACTAATGAATCTAAAGATTTATGAACATATGTTCATAGGAACTTTTCTTCCTATATCACAAGGAGTTACCATCTGAATTTGAGGACACTGCTTGAAGAACGCCCTATTTTTATATACTGAGAAATTATATTCACAATCTCTCGACGAATATAAACTACCCAATTCGAGATCAGCATTGTGGAATGAATAATTTGAATAGGTGAACGAAAATTTTACAAAAGAATTCTCACGGCTCTTGAAATTATTTAGTTTTCCATTGCACTTCCATTGCACTATTTCAACAATACCGGTAACCATTGCAGATATTCCAAATACACTTCCAGATGATATTGTACACGCCTCTGGCCTACCGAGAACGAAGGAATCAGTGAATGACCATGAAACATGCTGAATCACTTAGATTACTAAGAAAAACAGTATGGAAGTCAAGAAAGAGGTATAAAACGTTTTAGAAACTTCGTTAGCCGAACGCGTTGAGGAATCAGCTCAGTCTAGTTCATTCATGGCAGCGATACACGCGAAGTAAACGAATGGTACAAGTAAAATAATTGTAAAGTCATAAAAAGTATAAGTGTGTTTGAGTTGTAGTTTCGAGTCTTTTGATAGAGCCTATAATTTGTTTCATGTATATTCTTACCCAAAACATGGAAACTGATTAGGGCCAATTTTATACCGAAACCTGGAAATATGTTACCCGATTTGCAAAGGTTTTGAGGCAGTTTTGTGCCCTTTACATTGAGAACATTACAAAAATACTACTTGTTAGGCATATCAGAGACTTGCTAACAGACCACTGTATCGAGACCAATGGGGTTGTCCAGATGATGATAGAAAGGAATGTAGAGTTGTACTCAGGCTGCTCAACGCCTGTCTGGGTAGACGGTATTTTTCTGAGGTGTGGAAGGAGTCATATGTTGTCTCGAAGAACGGAATTGAGGCTTCCGTTCTTCGAGACAACATATGACCCCAACATATGACCAAATAATCATGAGGCGGATGTTGGACAGAATGTTGAATATATATCTCTTCCAATGTACCTATACAGTAGGTTCGTGTGGATTTCTGCCAAAAACCAACTACTTCCCCTGATAATGACATGATGTACGTTGAATTATATCCGACATACATTTATGCAAGATTCCTTACGGAATGTAGTCTTGCAGATCCTTCTCGTTCATTGATCCGATTACAGAGAGGATTTGCTGCTCCTAGATGAGAGCATTGTGCACCATCTGGATGCCGGAGAGACATATACTTACTTCGTGGTGAAAAAACACACTTACGAGAGGTAACGTCCGTGAAGAACTCTCCTCTCGGTATTTATCAGCAAAAAATACGCCAGATTTAGTAGTCAGAAAAAACGTTTCTGATACAAATATGCTTGCCGTCCCAATCTTTTTCTGCTTCTATGGAGTACTGACTTGTTGAAAGTTTCCAATACGATACCCTCTTTTCAAATCCAAACAAAGCTCGTAATCATATGGGAGTCCAAGCGGGGATTTCAGGATTTACTAAAGCGCGGCAGATTAATACACGAGGGGATAACTTGTACTCGGTTAAGTATCTCCACCAAATATGAGCCTTCATATATAAGGACGCCCGTGGAAAGGATCAGATTAGTAAAAAAAATTGATCATCAGAAATTCTCGAGCGCGTCAGACTACATGCTAAAAAGCGTATATTCCACTAATCTGACAGTTTGAGAGTGACGTAAAGAAAGGGGAGGCAGCAAAGTTGTAAAAAAATAACGTCATTTCGACATTCTCGAGCGTAGCTAATTTTTTATTATTCTGAAGGAAATAATTCAAGGATAACAAAAAATATATAATCTGACGATTTCAGCAACCCGAAATAACAAAAATTCGTCGATAAAGTTTAATGCGTGCAGCTGTTTGATACCTATATTTTCCTCTCACAGAGAGGGAAATGCTATTGCATGCTATTTCCTGAGCTTTTCAATTGATTAAGTTCAATAATTTAAAGAAATTGAAAAATATTATGTTTTTTCGTCAGATTAGGCGAATCCCTCTAGATAATCGTCAGATTATGAGACAGCACGTCTAGAGCATAAAGATGAACCATATATATCTTAATCTGACGCGCTTGAGTTTTTCAAAATGGCGAATTTTTTTTGCAAATTATAATAATGGCCGCGAGTTTTCGTCACATTGAAATCGTCAGATTATTGAATGAGAGATTTTTTGGTGCACTTAACACCCCCTTAGAAAATCTGACGCGCTCGATTGAATTTTTTTCTTTTCACTTCAAACCCTCACGTACAACCACCCGCATCATGCAAACGATCAGATTAACATAAGAACATTATTAAAAATACGTAGGACATTGATGCTATCAATATCTGACGCGCTCGAGTATGTCCATGCAAGAGTATTTTTTCACATATTTAAAAATCTATAACCGCTTGCCCCACCGATGAAAAGGTATATATGATATAACATTTTTTGTTCTTATCATCTATGCTTTGCAACTTAATATATCTCTATGACGAGTAAATCCGCATTTTGCATCGTGGGCTCCCCTACTATAACAAAATTCTGACCTTACACCCTAATCAACAATTTCGCGAAGATCTTCGAACTGCTTTGAACTGCCTTTGAACTGTTATTCACAAGCTGCTTGTTTTCCTACGATTTCATGCTCTTTGATTTCTGTTCCAGATGTCGCTCTTCATACCGACACAATCGATGGTATATTTGGAATAAAGTAGTAGGGGTGCCCGAAATAAATATTATTTATCGATATTATTCTTGTCAAAATCATTATTACTGTTTTTTTATATAGGTAGATAATTCTGGTTTTTTCACTAAAAGCGTTACCCATACCCAACGATGTACCGATTAAATGCCGGTGC